ACGCTATTCTTTATGAAAATGAAAGAGATGAAGATTATGTTTGACATTGGGTCTTTAAGATCTACATGATATAAAGCTAAACAATCTACGGAATATGAAGTTGCGGATGTTTGGTTTTAGTTTATTATTTTGTAGTTTATCTAGTATATGGGAATCTTTTATGGCATTTTGCAAACAAGTGCAATAGTATAATTGTTAGTTTTATGTTTTTTTTTTATAATGTTAAACACGAGGATGATGTTATGTTACCGACTATATTTTTTTTTAATCTAGTGTTTTTAATTAATTTTGGTTCTTAATTAAGTTGTTGAATCTTCTAAACAAGTTTCATGGATGTTTGTGTTAGGTATAAGTTGTGGAGAGATTTCCACCTTGAAATGTTAAACATAAGGATGATGTTAAGTTTCATGGATGTTTGTGTTAGGTATATGTTTTTTTTTTTTTAATAATGTTAAACATGAGGTTGATGTTATGTTACTAGCTATACTTTTTTTTTTTAATCTAGTGTTTTTAATTAAGTTTGGTTCTTAATTAAGTTGTTGAATCTTCTAAACAAGTTTAGTGGATATTTGTGTTAGGTATAAGTTTGGTTCTTAATTAAGTTGTTTTTAATTAAATTTAGTTCTTAATTAAGTTGTTGAATCTTCTAAACAAGTTTCATGGATGTTTATGTTAGGTATAAGTTGTGGAGAGATTTCCACCTTGAAAGGAAAGTTGTGTATAAATTCTAGACAAGTTTATATATATATATATAATATTAAATAATTATCCATGTTAGCTAATCTTTTGGACATTAAATATGCATGTGGGTTAGGTTGGAGAATGGGTAGAAAATGACTTGTTATTAGCAAACACAATTTAAACAACACGTACATTTATGTTTTTAGTTTTTATGCATGAGATAGATGTGAATGAATACAAATTTTGGTAACAATATCGGTAAGTAAATCTTGAATAGTTTCAAACAAATACTTGGACCACATTTAATCAATGCAAACAAATAAAGCAGTTTCAAACAAATAAGGTAACAAACTCACTTTTTGATTAAAATCCGGTTGTAATTATAATAGTCAAAGTTATACATGAAATTACATTTGTAATAAATATCTCTAACATTACATCTCTACCATTATAACTAATCATAAATCAACAACATCACAATAAACATTAGGCATAACTGAATTCCTAATTTGTATCTAAACACAACTTTATCATACGCATCTCTACATTTTTTTAGTTTTTTGTTTAAAACATCCATCTCTTTCAACATATAGTTCTTTTCAACTCTAAGTGTTATAATTTCTATAAGCGATTGTTCTTTCTTAGAATACCAATTCATCTTCAATTCTTGTTATCGACTTTCAATTATATAATTTCACTACCAAATCTCCTATTTTTTCTCATCAACGAGTCTATTTTTAGCAAATAATTGTTTACGTCTTTGTCTCATGCCTAAAAATACATCCCTTGCTTTATCCAATATAAATGGTTCATACCATGAACCATTTATAAAAATCACATCGAACATCTTTCCCGTAATTACTTACGAGCATGAACTAGACAATATAAAAACTTCATAGCTAGGCGAAGATCTCTTTTTGATGTCCATCTTGGAGCTTGTTCTCCATACTTATAAAATAGAGGACCCCCTTCATGATCATACTATGATCTTTAAGGCATTGCAACACATATTGGAATAATTCTTTTGGTTCTTGACTCATTGAACGAAATTGAAAAATCCATTATCTTGTGGCATTTCAAAACAACATTGTTAATTACAAGTCAAATAAACAAATAACATAATTTTTTTAAAAAATAAAATAAAAAAATTACTAACAAAATCACAACTAGTGGAACGAATCAAACATGAAAAAAGAGGAAAGAGACGGAATGCATTTTGAGTGTCAAAGAACGCGAGGAGAAAAGAAGTAAAGCAACAATAATAGAAAAAATAAACGAAGGGATGAATGCTTAGGACTAAACGAAGAAAAGATGGCTCGATTAATTAGCCATAATTGAAGAGATCGGTGTTTGACTTTGTTCGATCAATCAACCATAATTAAAGAGATAAAACAAATTAAGGTTAGTTAGGATAAATTTTAGGTATGAGAGAAGAGGATTCTTGAATGATTTGGGGATTTTGGTTCGTTTATTTTATCAATCATCGACAATTTGTAGAGAGAAAGGATGTTAGGAATTTTTGTATGATTTAAGGATAAAGGGAAAATTCGAAGCCATACATTTGGGTTATACAAGCCTTTTATCTAGGGGTAATTTGGGGTTTTAAGTTTTCTATGTCATTAATTTCTTTATTGGTATTCGAAATTGAGAGGAAAAAAAAATTAATACCATTTCTTAGTATCATGTTAGTCATACATCATAAATTGACGTCGTTGCTTGAAAAATTGGACGGAGGGACAAAATTCGGATGCAAATTAAATGTAAAGGGATATGATTATTGAAAAAATTAGTAAAGGGACACGATTAAGAAAAATAAAACAAGTAAAGGGACATCTTGGACCTTTAATCCATATATTATTTTCAAAGTTGACTTGTTTTATTTAAGCATGAATTTGGTACAACCACTCGCTTCTTCCCACTATATAAAAATCTATGTATTGATCCCTTGGTTTGTTATGTCAACTCCTCTATTGACATGATTTCAAGTCTAAAATAGTTTTGAGAAATTTTTTATTGTTTTTGAAAATAAAATAAAGTGGCAACTACTTGTGTTGTGAAAATCTCCAAGATGAATTTGTTGAATGTTTTCGAACTCCTTAAGAAATTATCCTTAATGGGTTAGGCTCATAAACCTACCAAAAATATTCATCCTTATGTAAGGATGATAATGAATGGATATTCGATCCGTAACTCCTTGAGAAATTATCCTTAATGGGTTAGGCTCATAAACCTACCAAAAATATTCATCCTCATGTAGGGATGATAATGAATGGATATTCGATCTATTAATTTAATTTTTTATCCTATCTATAAAAAAATATCTTACTCGTTACCCATTAAAAATCACTATATAAATATTTATTCGATCCACACTCGACCTACATTAGTTTACCTATCAATTTAGTACTCATGAGATACTCGTTAAAAATAATTTGTCAAACATATTTCATTTTAGTCTCGGTAATTTTCAAGAAAAATTTTTTGGTCCTTAAATTTTTTTTTTGTATTTAGGTAATTTCTTTATAAGTTTTTTTATCCTCAATATTTTTAGAAAATATATTTTGGTCTTTATTTTTCAAAATTTATGCAATTAAATCCCTATATATTTAAAAAATCAAAATAAATTATTAGATATTAATAGGATAAAGAGTGGATACCCATATCCCGAAACTATATTAACAAATATGTATTTTTTTATCCTTATCTATTTTAATATTTATTGGATATTTTTAATAGATATTTATTAGGTGGAATAAAATAAATACTTATTTTATACTTGGTTCATTTCCATCCCTATCATCATCATGGTCAGGGCTCTCACAAGTTTCACTTAAAAAACATGAAAACGATGATTTTTTAAGTTGGAAGCGATGCTATTAGAAGACCTTGAACTCGTTAAGTTCCTGGTTTATTGGTTTAATATTATGATCATCAATTAACCCGAATTATTAATATAAAATTTATATATTTGTCTCGTCCAAATATATAGTTTATTGTTGAATGTGTTTATGTTTTCTTCATGAAACCGAGGCTTGAATCACGAGCATGGCAACATACACATCTCTTTTTTATTTTTAATTCTTTTTCCCCTAAGGGGACAAAGGGATGCAATCCAATCGTCCCGAAGATGCCTCGTCCCCGCCCGACCCGTTTGGGGTGGGGATAGGAGATGAAATTTTTCCCCGAACGGGGCACGGGGTAGGGATGGGGATGACGATCCCCGCCCCGCCTCATTCGGCCTCGTTTGGGGAGGGGGTGGGGAGCGAAATTTCGCACCGAACGAGACACGGGACGAGGATGAGTTTTTTTTTCGGGGGACGGGGCGGGGATGAGGATGGCGATCCCCACCCCGCCCCATTACCATCCTAAAGGGACATCTATCAATGTTAGTTATATCTATATAGTAAGTCGCTTATTAGAAAATATCAACTTTCGTGGTACAAGGTTCAATACACAATAGGATTACTTTTTTTTTTTTTTAAGCTGATTTTGGTCGGTTCACATCGGGTTTTTGACAAAATCAAAGCATAAACAGTTTTAAATGCTAACCGGAATCGATATAGCGTTTGTTTTGGTAGTTTTTATTTTTATTTTTATATTGAGCCAATTGGTTCGGTTTGATTATCATAACTATGGATAGAAAATATTTATTTTATTTTAAAAAAATTATTATTATTATTTTTTTTGAAAAAACTCAATTAAATTATGTAATGTTTTTTTATTTATTTGAAAAAAAACACATGTATTATTTTCATACTTGTCTATTTCTTTATTATTAAAATATATAAAACATTTCACTTTAGCAACGAAAGAATTCATGATTTAAATAATTAATTTTATATTTTTCTTAAAAATCTTGATGTAAAATATTATAAATCATTCAAGTGATTTCACTCACACCATACCATAACATTTCATCAACAAATATTTTGATATATTTTATCACAACAGTCACACTGCTTTTCGATTTCAAACCTTTGGCCACGACGGAAAGAAATTAATTAATTAATTAATTTTTTTTTTTTAATCACAACAGATCGATATGCAATATGCTTTTAAGATCATTTGAAGGAAGAAAGCTACTCGCTGGTGCAGGACAAGACGACATCGCAGCATGCAAGCGTATGGTAAGTAAGTAACGAGTAACAATCTCTCCGTTGTTTGATAGATTCGCATTAAAATTGTGGCTTGTAGTCTCTTCCCCCGTTGATAATTTAATCTGATATCCATCCAACCCACAGCCTAGAAACACAACACAACGCAACTTGCCTTGCCCCAATAATCCAAAACAATTTCATTTCAATTCCCGCCAAAATCTAATGCTTCGTTTTTCTCTGCCACAGATCCCGCTCCATCTGCCTCTACCTCTACCTCCTTTCACCAAACTCCTGCACCAAACTTCAATACTCTCAAAAACTCTTCATTTCTCCCAAAAACGACTTCCTTCGCAACTTCTCTCCAAAAAGTTTTCTGGGTTTCTTTCAATATCGAATTCTTCTGTTTCTCCTTCACCAGAAGATGGTTTTGAGATGGAGTTGGGTCGCCTTTTGGTTTTGTTACCCCATGAAATGGCAAAAAGAGTTAGTGAGCACCCGGAGCTCCATGACTTGGTTGAGGTGGTTATGGATTTGGGGAGGAAGCCACTAGCGAGATTTCCATCTGGGGACTTCGTTTTATCGGATTGCCCGATCACTCTGCAGGATCTCCAACATGCTACTTCACAGGTTTTCGATTATTTTGTTATCCTGCCGGCTAAGTTTTTGATAAAATGCTCTTATTATTTTGTGTTGCTTTAGAATGATGTTTGTGTTTTGCTTATACAATGTTTCATAAATAAAGTTTCGTGCTTGTAATTACAACGTTGCAAGTTTATGACCTTTAAAAGTATTCGTCTGTTACATCTGTTGTTGAATTAGTATCGTCAAGTCAATTTTAGTGTACAGGGAAAATCATGTTAAAAAAAAAGTACAGGGAAAATCATGTCAGTTTGTTTTGGGTTTTTCAGTGATTTTGCAAGGCAGAAGCCTAATATACGAAATATAATAGATTGGGATGTCGTGGTCGTCCTTTAGTCATTACTCATTATACTATCGACATTGTATTCATTGACAAGTTGCTCTAGAACCTTAAACTACTAGATGATAGTGATTGAGGTATTAATCATGCATTTGAATTATTTTGATTCCTCATTTGGAGGAGAGTTACTTGTTATTTAGTAATTTTGTTGGGTTTGATTCTAGGTTAGTTGTGCTGAGACATTTGCTTTCCTGTTCCCACTATACGAATATAATAACTCAGATAGCTACTAACACAACAAAAGATAGAGATAATGGGCTCTTGTTGAGAGGGAAAAGATATGGAACGGTCAAAAGACTAGTCATTTAGTTTTTCTACTTTTTAGTTTTCAAGAATCAAATTAGTAAATTTCTTATTTTCTGTGAAGTCTTGAACCACATAACTCACAGGCTCTCCATTTTATTTTCTTTGGAGAGCATTTTAGCATGAATGGTTGCAAATTAATCTCAACCCTGATGGCAAGATCACATTCTTACAATATTCTTAACCCTAATGCACCTCCACCATGTCCCAATAATTTGAAAATTTTTCCTGATACCACACATTACATTTAGTTATTTTCCTTTTTTTTTTTTTTTTGACAAAATTTAGCTTCATATCTATTTCTCATAAATAGAGATAAAAGAAGATCAAAAGGGAATACTATAATGCCCAAGTAACTCATTGGCCTAACAATGCCTGTGCAGCATCATCCTTTCCACTTAGCCAAAGAACTTGAAATCAAGTCATTAGCAGTGGATTACATAGGTATTTATATACAAGCTCACTTTTCCTTCTCTTTCTGATGACCTGTTCTTCAGCTCTTGTTTGTAGCAGAATTCTACTGGTGGTTTCCACCTGCTGACTTGTATTTTTTTTTTTTTTTTTTGAAATCACGATGTCCACAGCTGAGCTCTAAGCTGTTATACAACATTACTTTGCCTTCTCTTTCTGATTTGGCACTGTAATATTTCAAATGTTGTGCCCCTTGTGATATGGACAAGATAGAACACCTCCACTCTGTGTTTCTTTCACAACAATATTATTGAGTATTGGGAACTCATTTTGTCATCATGAGATACCTATTCTTTGTAAACTCTAAATTCTTTTCGTTATTTTACTCATCGCTAGATTACATTGTGTTGAGAATTCAATGAGTTCTATTTTGTTAATATGTTGTTATTGATTTAACGTCTTTGTTGTTTCATTAGTTGATTCTTTATCATCATTGTCTTTGTTGTCGCCATTTTAAAGAATTTGAATGATAGTATACTATTCTTCATAATTTGTTAATTATCAATATTGGCAACATTTGTTGTTGAGAAAATAAAGAAAAAAATGATGGTTTGATTGTAATTCCAATGTTTACGGGAAAAAATAAAAAATCTAAGGTTTAAGTGGAACAAGTTTAATTTTCAGAATTAGGAGAAGAGAGATGGTTTGGATGACATTTAAATCTTGAACAATTTATCAAAAGTGCAATGAGCATAATTGGGAGTTTAGTCCCCCAAGGATAGACCTATATTCTTCATTACTCAAATTTTATGGTACATTTTCCAGCATTTTCCCCTTTCTTTGCCTTTTTTTTTTTTTTTTTAAATGTTGCATGAATTCCTGGTTTTAATCTTCTTTTTTCAATAACAATAGGATGTCTATATTTATTATAGTTGAGTTTCCATAACCTCATTCTCCCATACAGTATAATTGGTTATGTTTTCTTTTTCTGATTAATCATTAATGGTAAATGGATGTTTTTGGCTTACTTGAATTGCATAGTGTAGGTTGGTGACTTTGCCATTGACAATCGAGCAGGCATCAGCCGGACATTGCATCGCATTAGTGCCATAAGAAATCGAAAGGGACAAATCATTGGTCTAACTTGTCGTGTTGGTCGGGCAATACCAGGCAGTGCTAGTTTGCTGAGAGATTTAGTTCGGGATGGGGCTTCTCTTTTGTTCATTGGTCCTCCAGGGGTGGGAAAGACTACAATTATCAGGTTAGTCGTTGCTGTTGTTTATGAACATGATATGCTTTCATCACAAAAGGATTTATTCTATTCTAAATTGTTTTCTGCATTGAGTTGGCATGCTTTAAAAGACTTGATCAATTGCTTATGTAGTATCAAGTCAAGGCATGTTTTCAGGACAGTAGTGAGCTAGTGGTTCTTGAATATATATGGGTATTTATGGAATGATTATTTCTGTTAGAACTGGCACTTCCCCTGAATCTACTTGCCTTCCCAATTAAAGCAGGCATGCTGAAATCAGTCTAGCAGATTTTCAGTGATGTTTGCCCTAATTTTTTTACATTACAAATGGCTCCTGAATCTACTTGCCTTCCCAATTAAAGCAGGCATGCTGAAATCAGTCTAGCAGATTTTCAGTGATGTTTGCCTTAATTTTTTACATTACAAATGGCTCCTGTATAAATTTCATGTATTATTCACGCAGACCAGTAATGCTTTGGGATTTTGACCCTCCCAAACTTGACTTTAATTGAGCTCATATTGTGATGCGTTAGCACAGAAAGTAGGATTTTACAGAAGATATTCATTTAGAGAAAAACAGTGAATATGAACTCCAGAGTATCTAGTGCATGTTAACATAATCTGAAAAGTGGTAAGATATAATTCAAAATCCTTGAAGGCTTTAGACATGTGAGACTCCACTAGTGAATTGTGTCTTAAAAGGATTAAGCTATTAAGAACCATGTTGCACTACTTTCAGAGCAATGTATGCCTATTTTTATTTTGGCAGATTTAGTCTTCTTCTAGGGGCTTTGCTTTCTTAAAATTCTACTGTCTAACTTGTTCATGTTTGTTATGTATTTCAATTTCTCAATGCCCTCTATTCTGCCACTACTGTTGACTCATACCACCCTTGCATTAGTCATCTATCCTTAAATATTCCTATGCAAATATTTTGTTCCATTCCTAAGGACATATGATATCCTGGGCACTGGAAAATAGATGATGAAGTCAAGATATGCTATCTTTTGCTTATATAGTTTAGCAGGAGAGGATTTTCATTGCTGAAATTATTACATGCTTAACAATGTCGTAAACCAGTCTTACATGGTGATTTGATTACTGAATTTGCATTCTGTTCTAATAATGGATTTCCTGGGTGCATCCATCTGACTTTAGGGAGACGTAAAATTCTAAAATTCTAAGTTTTGCAGGGAAATTGCTCGAATGCTTGCAAATGATTACAAGAAACGAGTAATGATTGTTGATACATCCAATGAGATAGGTGGCGATGGTGATATACCTCATGCTGGAATAGGCAATGCTCGACGGATGCAAGTTCCCGATTCAGATATGCAACATAAGGTATGAGCTGGAAGTGTGTGATTTCCCCTTTGGGCCTGTTTACAGTGCATCTGTGTTTATGAAACAAAGTTGACCAGCTGAAGTTTGATAAGGAACGTTGCTGATGATATTAATGGATATTTCTATTGTATTGTGACATGACTAGCTTTAATTAATTATATTACACATGCTATGCCCTTGGCAAGTGAAATCTCTGAAGCAGGTTACAATTCTTATTAGTGATTGGCATATGATCATTGTACTCACTACAATCAGCAATAAATGTCATTTGGTTTAGTTTTGTTTAAAGTATGCATTTAGTTTTGTTTACTTCCTGATCTAGAGACCTAGATGCTTTATTTTGTTATTTTTTTTTTCAATAATTTGTCAGCAGGTGACTGTTTGCAAGTTTCTGATGCGTAGGTATTAATAGAGGCAGTTGAAAATCATATGCCCCAAGTGATTGTGATAGATGAAATTGGGACAAAACTTGAAGCAATGGCTGCAACTACAATTGCACAGCGTGGGATTCAGCTAGTGGCCACCGCTCATGGAATCACAATAGAAAATTTGATAATGAATCCTTCTCTGGAGATGCTTGTTGGAGGAATACAGGTGACATGATTTTTTTAGATGAAGATGAGTAATTGGTTTACCTTATTTGCTATGCTATACATCAGTGGCTTTAACTTTTATGTTGTGGTCTATGGAGCATGCAAACTGTCATATGCAAAAAGTCCCTGATACTACTGGGTGTTGATTGTGAAAATTTTGGAATAAAATGAACTACAGTGCTGCTGCTATCATAATGGTGTCTGGATGCGTGCATTGATATGTTCAGCATGATAGTAAATTTCAGCATTGCCTTGTTCACCCCTATCACTGTTATTGTAGATCAAAATTATCGTATCTAACCTTGACATAATCAACATTTTTCTTACCTTATGAAATCAGCCCTTATTGGTAGGTCTGTAAAAATGAGCCAATCAGCTATAGCTTTGGTTGAGATCAGTTCTGAAAGCAAAAATAGCTACCTCTTTTGCACCTAGTTCAACTGATTAACTTATTGACCTACTGCATAAATCTATATAGTATTTTACTTGTATAATGTGAAACTACTCATTCTCAAGTCTAGATAGGCTCAATAAAACTCAAGACAAGTAGCAATACAGATGAACCAAGTTTTGGCAGCACAAAACTTGGCTCAACATGCTAAATCACTGAGCAACTGACTTTCTTGAGTTTTTCATGTATTTTGAAGAATCTAATAGGTATGGGTTCACTGTACTATTGATCCAAGTCTCCTCTCCCTCCTCATCTTTCTTGTACGTATTCCCATTTCCTTCCCCCCGATGCACCCAATTTAAGTGATGAGTACATATTGTCCAAGTAAAATCTGAAATTGAACAATAGGTGTTTTACAAGCACCCCAAATAAAATTGCAGCAGAGTTGGAAAGGGCTAAAATACTGGAAGGGTTAGCTTCTAATTGTATGATTTATTGTTGTGATTTGAGTTAAATTCAGATCTATTGTGTCACCTTTCTGTTAATGCAAATGTAAATCACTTTGTGAATATCAGCTATTTTAGTTGGTAAAGTAATCGGGCACTGTGCCAAGAGATTAGAGATTAAGTTTCAAGCAGACCTTAGTTGGAAAGGGCTAAAAGGCTGGGAGGTTTGGTCCATTAAATTGTTCTCAAAGAACTAATTTAGCTTTGATCAAAGTGAATCTAGATGAATTAAGCGGTCTTGATTTCAATAGCTGTGAATTTTTCTTTTCTTGGATATAAGTTTTTTAAAAATACTTTCATATTATTTCTCAAGAAGTCAGTTGATTATATCCATATTGTTTCTCAAGAAGTCAGTTGATTTTTAGTGACCACAGCTAAAAAGCCATTTCTTTCATTAAAAAAAGTTCAGCTCTTTTATTGCTCAACAATTTGAAGTTTCTTCTTCTAAATCAATGATTTTACAAGGGATTCCTCTTTTTTTCCCATGAGAAACAAAGATGTGAGAATGTGTGCTTGTGTAGAAAACAGTTCTGAACTCCACAGCTTGACATTTCTTAGCTTTTTGCTCTGAATGGGCATGTCAGTGCATCAATGTGTTCCAACATGGCATATCAGTGCAAAATGTTGGAGCTTCATAGATGCCTTGTTGAAAACATATTAAGGCATACGGACACAGGCAACAGATGTAAGGACAAGGTATTGAAGTGGCAGAGTTCATAACATTGCCACTAAGGTATAAAAGTGTCACTGCATGGTGTGATTTTTCCTTTTTTTTTTCTTTCTCTATTTTATTCAAATTCTTCCTTTACTGGATAGAGGATAAAAAATGCATTGACGTTTAACGCAGTCAGTTTTCAGAATGCATGCTTGTTCTCTTTCGTCCAAAAAGGGGGAAAAAAATGGCCTTCTTATTCTGTTTCCATCTTTTAATTACTAAATGCATACTCCTTATGTGATAAATAAAGTTGAAAGAAAAAGGAACATACCAAGGGAAAGAAAAATGTAAAACTGTATCAAGAGAAGTGACATTGTCCTCATGGATGACCATTATCACTGAAATTATTATATAAAAGCTGATCCACTTGTCCACATATATGTTTTGGTAAGCTTGTAGTTTTGTACTGCAGTGTAATTATGTGGAATTAAACAGCAAAGAGAATACTGTTGCAATTCCAAACTGCTTTTTGTTTCTCTATTTTACTTTGTTCTTTTGAATTCATTTTTGCTTAATGCTTGGCTGCTTGGGCATGATTTGTGATGACTACTCTCCGCTGCTGCTAAACCATAGCAGCAGTGACAGCCTTGCACTGCAATTCTATTCTGTTACATCTCTGTTATATTCTTTTTCATCTTTATCAATGCAAGGATTCTCTATTCTTTAAATAGTTACTCATGCTCTGCTGTGTTTCTATTAAACGCTTTTATTTATAAAATAATGTCTGGGCAAACAGATACTTCTCTGATCAGATATATTAATGCATTTAGTTTTCTAGAGTGTGACCCTAGGGGATGAAGAAGCAAACCGGAGGGGTGTCCAGAAGACAGTGCTGGAGAGAAAAGGGCCTTCAACATTTAGTTGTGGGGTGGAGATAATTTCAAAGACTGAGTTGCGAGTTCATCGCAGTTTAGAAGCAACAGTGGATGCTATTCTCTCAGGTATTTTTTTTTTTTTTTCCTGATCTACTTAAACCAAAACATTACTATTTTATGTTTTAGTTCTGTAAAAAAATTTTAAGAGGGGGTGTGGCAGATTTTTTTCTCTGTTTCATCCTCTTTGCTTGATTTGTTGAAACTGTTTCTGTGGAAGGTCGTTCCCCATATGTGGAAATTCGCAAGATGACCTCTCAAGGAGTAAAAGAAACAGTAGAAAATGAACCTGCCTTTGAAACATCTGCTGAAAACAAAGATGATGTTTTGGTTGAAGATTTCCACTTGACAGATGAAAGAATTGGTCATAATGAGTTCACTTCTGATCCTCCTCCAGACATTGGAAAAAATTCTTTGGAACGTGAAGCACCACTACGCCTGTATGTCTATGGGGTAAGCAGTCTTTATGGAGTTAGTGTTCTCCAGTTGTACTCAGGTGGTTGTTTCTTTGTATGTGCAAGTTATGTTTAATGAGATACGAAATGAATTTCTTTTTGGAACTGATGGGAGTTGTATGTTGATGACTTTAAATCTGCATAAAAAGAAATTGTAGTTTCTTGCCCAACATGCCAAACAATTGCTAATTTAGCATTATCTTGTACAACTATGTCAACATGCCATATTTCTGAAGCCATTTCATAGCAAGTAAATGAAGCTTGCAAAGCCAGCTGATTTCAGGAAAATGACGTCCTTAAAGAAAGAAAAAGAAAAAAGTAGTAATAATAATGCAAGAAAAAAAAGAGAAAAAATTAGGAAAGTTCAGAATCTCATTAAAAACAATTTATCTCTTCTTGCAAACTTTTGTTGTTAGTGCTTTTTTCTTTAATTTATTTCAACTGCATATAGGAGACAGTTGTTTAAAGGAACATCATCGAGTAAAAGAGGGCTGGGGAATGATTTAAATTAGAAAATGGTGCTCTTTTGTAGCTGAATTTTTCTGGCTTCCTCCTTTTTCAGTATTCTTTGTTTTCTTTAATTAAAATGCCAATGAAGTTCACCAAAACTTATCTTTTTTTCCTTTTTCAAGTCGTGGATATTGACAGCTTGGGCAGAGGCTTTGTTGAGTTGTTTATGGATACAAATGAAAGTTGTCTGCATTCTGATATACCAATTATGGCTTTTTTATGTCTTGTTCCTTAGTTTAAATAGAACATTTCTCCTATACAAGGAAGTTATATCTAGTCCCAAGATAATTTGGAGCTCAAAGGATCTCTATAGTGGCTATTCCTTCTTCAATATTTTCCAGTAGCAGGTCCGCTAGTTTATGTCTTTACTTTGTATGGGCCGTGTCAAGTTTAAATTTCTCTTCAAAATATTGAGCTTGCATTTTATTTTGAAAAGTAAAAGCAGACTGTCTCTCAGCCGAAGTTAATTAAATTTTCAATTTTTGGCACTTGACTAGTGTTGCGTAGTATGAAAATACTGGTATATGGAACTTACATAAAGAGCAGTTATTCTAGATCTTGGAGGCAAGCGTGATTCAAGGGATCAATCAGTTGAAAATGGATGCCGCAGTTCAATTAACTGATAATATCAGTGATGCAGATGCTCTACTTGCCTTGCAATCTAAGCTGAAGAAGAATGCCAAGATTCAAGCTGCTGCCAGATCTCATGACATACCCATTTATGTGACAAAGGTTTATATGATCAAATCAATAGACTTCTCTTTCCTCAGCTACAGCTACTTATTATCAACCTATGGATAACCTGCTTTCTTTCTTTTGGTAGACAAGTTCCTTGGAGCAAGTAACAAAGGCCATAAGGGCACTGATGAGCAGTCATGCTAATGGATTGAAGGATTCTGGAAAAGAAAATACAAAATTGTCAGAAAAGATCGATGCTGTGGAGGTTAGAGTTAAATTTCTTCTGTCAGTTGTGTTTTTGAAACATTTATTGTGGCTGGAGAGCGTTATTGATGATCTATGGTGTGGTCTATGCCACAATGTTCAGGCCATATTGATGATCTATGTTGTGGTCAATGCCACAATGAGAGTTGCTAATGCTCATGGCTGTCACTGTTGTGAATTGTTAGGAATCTCAGTAAATTCATTAATTCACACAGTTCTAAAAATTAAATGAGTTGCCAACAAAATTACATCAACCATGCCTAATACCAATGAAGAATTGAAGATCCAAGGAAATTTTTTTTAAAAAAAATCTAAAATATTACTTAAAAATTACTTTAAATTGGTTCAGGAAATTTTTAAATAAACACAAGCCTAACTTTACTTTAAGCCAATGTAACAGTTCAAGTCATTAAGACTATAACTCTAATGCTGTGAAAGAGCAATAGAGTCTGATAATAAATAGAAAGAAGTTGAGATTTTTTGCTTAAACCCTTGGATCAATATGTGGATCTTGACTTTAGAAGCGAAGAGAATTGATACTTGAATTTTAACAATTTGACAAAACTGCAATGAAAGAGTGAAGAAAGCACCTGTCAATTGGAGGGAGAGAGAGTGAGAGAACCACAGCAATGCAATCTGTCAGCAGCAATGCTTGGCAAGATAACGACCATGACAACTTGATTCCTATATAGTGCCTATAGAATGGGTTGCAGCATACTTACGAGAACCCTGTTTCTTCACATGAGGGTCAATTGTATGACATCTTGATGTCAACCATTCAATATCGAACATTAAGAACACAATAAAAACTACTCTAGCAGTAATTTTTGTTCATCATCTGCCTTGCTTGTAGCTTAGCCAAGTTCTATGGTCTATGCTCTGTCCTTTCCTACAGGAAATCAGTGACACAACTTGTTTATTCATTTTCTGAAAACATCCAGAGTCCTTGCTATTAGTGTGACTGAGATATAAGAAGATAATAGATTCTTTCCCCTAATTATGACTTTTGCACCTAACTTAGACATCATGGTTAAGTTGGTACCATCATCAAGTTGTTATTCTAAGAATGGCTGTTTCTTAGGCTCCATTTGGTACAGTAGCTGTTATCTATGGTTGTAGCTATAAATGTGGATGCAAAAGCTGTTTGGTAAATGTGTTGCTGAAAAAGCTTTAATACAAAATGATACTCAGAAGCCATTACAAAACCCGAAAGTTTTAATTTGTTGTTTCTCCAAGTGGTTTGACCAGTTTTTAAATGGCTTTTGAAAATGCATATGGGTTGTTAGCAAATACCTTTAATTTGTTGGTTGCTGGAAAAGAACCTCCTACCACCCAACCAATCGGGCACTTAATACCTTAACTCAGTTATATTACCAATGGTGGTATGCAGCTTAAACTGAGATTTGGTTTTCCTCACGTTTCCCCCGTTTTTGTTTTGTTTTCCTTTTCTTTTAGAGGGGGTGAGAGGTTGGGGTTTTACTGGTTCTAATGCAGCATAAATGTATGGATGTTTTACAAGTGGCAATACAACCATGCTTTAGTGCGGAAAACCAGTTTGATCAGTTGAGAAACGACCACTTTGTCGCAAGCTGGTTTTCCTTCTTTGAAAATGTGCTCATTTCTCAGTCTTTAGTGTGTTTTTGTGGTGAATATGTATAAGTTTGAAAAGGAATATTAAGCTGCAACATTTTCCAGCTGTGTTTTTTCACAAATAAAGAAAGAATGTACCTTTTATTGTCAGTATTAATCTTGGAATTAAACAAATTGGCTTCTCTATGGATTTTCCATGTATTGATATTTTTTTCGGATCCATTTTTTTGGTGTCTGTCTCAAAGTTTATTATCAGTGTGGGTGGTGAGAAGCCATCTGTAGGCTATCAATGATTCAAAGGTAATTAGGATGGTGTCTACTCAATGTGTTATATGATCTTCAAGAAAGAGTGGATATTGTTATATCTGAGTCTGTTGCGTTTGATCTTGAAGATCTCTTCTAAATTCCATATTTTCTAAGTTACGACCTTCTTTTTCTCTCTCCAGCAGGGGCAGTCTTCCTGTAAAACCTTGTCTTGCATATTTTCGTTATTGAATCTTGAATACTGTCTTTTCTGCCTAGTGCTTCTATTTTCCTTCTGTCTCATTGAAAATAATAGAGAAACAGGGACATAAAGAACATAGAAAGGAGAAAAGAAAAATGATTGGAGATGTTTGTATGCATTAATTGATTTCATTCAAGCCTTCCCTTCCAACAGAATATATCATGTCCAAGAGACTAGGAGTAGGCCATGATGATCACAATTAATAAACAAGGATGTCCACATGCATTGCTCTTTCATGTTTACGTTTGGAATACGTCGTTCATCCAAATGATTATTTTTCAACTCGACAATGTACTTTTCCTCATACAGGAGGCAAGAATAGCTGTCGAGCAGGTGGTAATCTCAAAAGGGGAACATGTGGAGCTGCTCCCAAGGCCACCACACATTATGTCCCTTCAGATAGATTTCATTAGAAAATACCAACTAGAAACAGAGAGCATTGGTACTGAGCCAGAGGCACGCCTCCGGATACTTCCATATCAGACTAGGATGGATGGAAACAGGAAGTCTATTGAAACAGTCGGGACAGTCAGCGGATTTGATGACTTTCTCAGTGTCACTGGGGACACAAATGGATCACTCGACAGCATCGACAGGTTACCTCTCTTGCCTGATTAGTCTTCACTCTTGACCATATTGTAACCTGAAGTATCACCACGCTTAATAGCTTTAATATGTGTAACGGATCAGCAGGTTTCTTGTACATGAGTATTCAAATCTGCATGTTTTGCATATTGTGGTTCCTTTGCTGATACGTATTGCACTGAGCATTTCAGATTTGTTTTAGTATTGTGAAAATTTGCAATTACAAGCCAGTAAATTATCTGCTAATGAATTTCATAACCTGATGCTAATCAAGTATGAGTCATGGATTCTGTTATACTGGCAATCGGAAGGGAAAGAACATGACCTTGGCAGAATTAATTATAATAATACTAAAAGACATTCTCCTTTCCTGAGTGTCCTGTTGACCATGAATTATGTGATTGTGAAAAGACATTCAGTAATATTGGGATAAACTGAGCTAACGAAATTGGATTGTGTAATTGGGTATTGGAATCAATTCCAGGACTTACCCAATCGCAAATGTAATCTCTCGTCTTCTCAACTGCTCAACCTAAACTGGTGTCGTTTAGTGGCCATTTGCTCCATGCAGTGACAAATTTATGCTGGCAACATCACTAGGAATAAACTACTTATGGAGAAGGCAGTCATCTTTTAATACTTTAACCCTGTCCTCAAAATTAGACCCAACAAGCTAGATTTTATGAGTCTGGATTTATTAGCTTTCATTGTAGATGATCCGTGGGAAGGACATTATCCCATCTTGTCCTCGGCTAGCAACTCTTGATTAGTGACCTAACAACCTTGAATTATATCTTACAATTAAGACTTATTGGCATCCACAGTAGTTGACTTAACTGAATGTGAATGTTTAGGTTTTGAATGACCTAATTTTATTATTTCAGCTTGTTTCCTATTTTAAGGAGAAAATCTTGTCTAATCTATTCTAAGTAGGAAACAAATATATAGCTAATTACATTGATTTATAGCTTAATTCATAACTAATTTATCGTAAAGAATCCCAACACCCCTCCCCTTGAGCTGGGTTGTAAATAGCTTGCAATTAAGATCTTCAAAATGCACATTTGGAAGTGCTTTAGTTAGGATATCGGTGTTTGTAGATTAGAAAGAATGTAAGTAGACTTGGTTACTTCCCTTTCTATTTTTTTTTTTTTTGATAAAATGTTGATCTATTTTCACATGCTTAGTCCGATCGAGATGAACTAGATTTTTAGCAATATTGATTGTAGATTGACTATCATAAAGTAGATGTATTGATCCATTAGAAGGTATCTTCAATTCGGCTAATGTTATTTTCACCTAGATTCCTTGAAGTAGTGGAAACTTATAAGAATGAAATAAACATTGTTGATGTGAAAACTCACACACGAAATCTAGATGCTTGGTCTACTCGCACTTATTGAATTGCATGTAAATACTAAGAGATAGGCTTTAAATTTCATTTATTCAAAGAATGTCGAAAATTTGGCTAAAATTGATATGCTCTCTCATAAAATTTTATTAGCCAAAGAAAGTTGCATTTTTTTGCTTCCAAGTCATACATAAATAGGAAATTTAGCCTAAAACCCTAAACCAACTCAAAAAGAAAACAAATACAAAAATTTGAAAAATAAGGAAAAATCTTGATAACATTAAAAGTCAATTTTGAGGGCATAAATAATGTTTTTTTTTAGCCAAAATCACTCCTATATCATGGCAAATTGATGAGTTTGACTTGTTGGACTTTTGGCATTGCATTAAGCCCAAGAAACCTAAAAATTGGGCCGATAGTTTCTTTCAACTTCGTTGTTATCATACCATTTCATAAATTTCCGGACCTATTAGTCCGCATCATTCCCCGTAGGAAAGAGAAAATTCGCCTTTGAATTGTTCGCATCGTCGTCGTCAAAAGAATCACCACGAAAGGAAATCAAATTCTTAACATTGAACATATTGGTATTACGAATATGACTAGGCGAGCTTAAGGCAATAAGCATTGAGGTTAATCTTCTCAACTATCTCTATAGGGCCAATCTTCATTACTACCAATTTGTTGTACTCTCCTACAAAAAAATGATCTTTGGTGAGGACGACCCACACAAAGTCCTTTCTTCGAAGTTGACATGGCAATGTCTCTTGTCAACGACTACTTTGCATTTCGAATAAGACCGAGTCAAATTATCATGCACAACCTTATGAATTTCTTGTAATCCCATCATAAAATCAACTCGCTTTTTCATGAATATTGATCTTATTAGGCAGAGGTATTAGATCTAAAGGCCCTTAGGAGTGACGGAAGACACCACCTAGAGTGGACTAAATCCAATAATCCTATTTAGCTTGACATAACCTCCGATTCCAATTCTTGGCATAATTACCAACCAAACATTGTAGCAAGTTTTCCAAACATTGATTGATAACTTTAGTTTATCTCGTCTAACCGTGGGTGATAGGCATTATTGAAATTTAACTATGTATTCACCATCTTTCACAAACCGCACAAAAAATGATCGAGGAACCTTGTATCTCTTTCGAAACAATGAATGTCGATAGACCATATAGACGATATTCCTTTCAAAAATAGAGTCGAGTCATAGTAATAGCATTTATTGTCTTTTTACAAGAAATAAAATGAACCATATTAGAGAAACGATCAATAACCATATAGATGGAATCATTACCTCGCTATGTTTGGGGTAATCCCAAAACAAAATCCATACCGACATCCACCCAAGGTTGATAAGGCACATGCAACGACGTGTACGAGTCTTGCATTAATAGCCAAACCCTTAGAAACTTGGTAGATTTGACAATGCTACACAAACTTCTCCACTTCTTTATGAATGGTAGACCAAAAGTATAAAGCTTATATTAGGCTGCAAGGTTTTATCTCGCCTTACATGACCCTCTCCATGCAGTTCCTTAATGATTTGTAAGCACAAACCGTAATCGAGAACATAAAGCCGATTGCCCTCGAATACGAACCCATCATGCAATAAAAAAAAATCTATCTTCTCTCCCGCATGAACCTTTCCGTTAATGGTAGAAAAATAGGGATCGGTATCAAGTAAATCACAAAAGACTCTAAACTAGGTACTCGAACTCGAATGTGTGCAACAAATAGCTCATCTTGCTTAATGCATTGGCAATGCGGTTAGTGACCCTAGCCTTGTATTTTACCATGAAAGTAAACTACTATAAATAAGTAATCCAACTCATATGTCTAGTCGATACCTTATCCTATTTAAGTAAGTGCTTCAATGCTTCATATTCGGTATAGAACGCGAACTCTTTGTGGAATAGGTAATGCATCTAATTTCTTACAACTTGAACCACTACATAAAACGTCACATCATAAGTGCTATAATTACGCTTTGCCCCGAAAGCTTCTCACCGAAGTTGGCCACTAGTTTGCTATTTTGGCTCAACACCGATCCAAGGCCTAGTTTAGATACATCACTTGTGTAGCTCGAAGGGCTACATAAAATCTGGCAACGACTAGAATTGGGGCTATAGTTAAGCATGTTTTGATCTTTCAAAATGCCTTTCGAGCTCTCCAGTTCAAGTAAACTTTACACCTTTCATGTAGTTGATAATTGGGGCCATAATATTGTTGAAGTGAGGAAAAAAATGCCTATAGAAGGAGGCAAGTCCGTGGAAGCTTCGAACTTCGGTATTGGTGCTTGGTCAAAGCCATTATCTCACCATCTCAATCTTGGACTCATTCACTTATAATCCATATTCAAAAACTACATAACTAAGAAACAACACCTTGGGCACAATAAAGACACTTTTTCACTACTTCATAAAACTTATCTCAAAGTAAACAACGACAGATTTATCAATAAATGGCCTCGAGGCTTGATTCATGACATGCATAAAAGTGCTCGGTGCTTTTGATAACCCAAATGACATTACTAACCACTTATACAACCCTTCATGTGTCTCGAAAGTCGTCTTCCATTCATCTTTAGACTCGATACGTATTTGATAATATCCACTCTTTAAATCCAGCTTTGTAAATACAATTGCACCATTAATTTGATCAAGTCATCAAGTCGTGGAATAAAAAATCTATACTTGGATCGTGAACTTGTTGATGGCTCGACCGTTTACACACATTCGCCAAAAACCATCCTTTTTTGGGGTATGTTGGGCGACATTGCACCAAACTCAAATTCAATCCGGTGTTAAATGTCTCGCAAAGATGGTAACTTCTTAAACAAGTTATCCAGGAATACATTATAAAATTCCACAACTATAGGGACTACTACTTCTATTACTACCTTATCAATTCCAAGCTTCTTTTCTAATTAACACATAAACCATCCTCGAATCCTACAACTCCTCAAATCGATCTAGTGACACCGACTTGCTATTATTTCCTATAGGTTTAAAAACAACCGAGACCTTATTAGGTATAAGTACAAACCCTATTAAACATAAAACTATATGTATTAACTTCCCGTCATGAATTGTACTCCTATCATATCGCCAAGGCCTACCTAACGAGTAAATGACATGTATCCATTACAACCGCATCACACCACACATCATCCTTATACCTAGAGCTAATAGAAAAAAAAACTAGAGCTTGTTGAGAAATAGTTACCTCTTTCTCTTTTTTAACCTAACCCGACTTGTAAGGTTTAACGTGCCTTTCTATTTTGGGATTCAATTTCTACATTACTTCATCGGAGATAATATTCTCACAACTACTAATGTCAATGACAAAACGACATACCTTATCTTGAATTATGCGAGTGGACTGAAAAATATTACTCCTTAACCAATCATCATGAGCAACTTTAAGAGTCAAGTAGGACCTCCTAACAACTAGTGTTGTTCCCTCATCGTCCATCACATCCACTCTTTTTAGGTGTCTCCATCATCATAAACTAGATCACCAGTTAACTCTACATCACCTTCATCATAAACTAGATCACTAGTTAACTCTACATCACCTTCATTATAATCTTCAATATCAACAAGAAGTGCTATTTTCCCTGTCTTTTGACACTTAGACATGTCCGTAGCCAACTTCACCACACTCA